CCGGATCACTCCCCAGCGTGCGGGATGTGGCATGCCACCAGCATGGATGCCGCTTGGTGAAATGCAGCTGCAGCAGCCTTGTCGGGAAACCAAACTGATGGCTTTTGTTTTTCCCCCTCCTTTTTCCAGTCCAAGGAATCCTCGTCCGTCTTAAGTTGTGACATTTCAGCGGATGACAAGTACATTGTCACGGGCTCTGGTGACAAGAAGGCCACAGTCTACGAGGTCATCTACTAACCATGGATTTTATAGCAGGGCTGGCAACTCCCAGCACTGGCGGTGGCAGGACTTGGGCGGCCGGCGGGGAGCAGCCGGGAGCTCGGGGGGGCTGCCGCGGGGCGGCCCCCGGGGCTTGGCCATGGACCGGCATGCTCCGGCAGGGCTCTGCCTCAAGGGCCCGGCGTACCATACACACGGATTTATTTGGAGGTCTGCAAATATGGCACACATTGAAGCCCTAAACGAATTTTTGTTTGGTTTTAGGGTTTTGGGTTTTATTTTGAAAAAAACTTTTTTTTTTTTTGGTTTTCTGGTTCTTTCCGTCTGCGCTTTGGTGGCACTATAAAGGACTTATTTTTTATTGTGACTTTTTTTTTTGTGCATCCTGCATAAGACTTGTGAAAAATGTAAATAACGGACTAGTAAATAGCATTGGAAGGGTGGGGGACCCCTCCCGGTACACTAGTTGTGTATTTTTCGTCTGCTGTAATTGTATTCCACTGATGGTTTTGGTGGTGGCAATTTTATTATTTTTTTTTCCTTACCCCCCCACCGCGAAGCGTCCGTTGGGACGTGACTTTGCCGTGCAGCGTGTAACCAGGCTGAGCAAAGATGTCCACTGGTGAAAGTTGTTCCTACTGTCGTACCCGTGCGTTGTTCGGTGTGTTAGTGATGGTGGGACGCTGCTGGGACCGCGGGGGACTTGGTCGGATCCTCAGCTACTGATGGGACATCAGCAACACAATCACCTTTTTTTATATATGGATTTTTTTGTGCTCGTATGTTTGAAGAAAAGGGGAAGCCCACGCTGCGGGATTGTCTGCGCAAGCCTTTCTTGGTCTTCGGACAGAAGCAATGAGGAGTGATTTCAAAGAAAGCATAGTAAATTCAGCTCAGGGAGCCACGAAAGATAATAGCAACTTATGTGTTTTGTATTCAAATGAAAGTAAAGAATTAGAATTGATAACCTTTAAAATACAGTTTTTTTAAAAGCAAAGTTTACTAACAAGTAGGGTTTGTGTGTGGTGGGGGGAAGGGGCTGGCTTTGGTAGGGTCCTGTGGGCTATATGGTCTTGTGTCTTCTGGTATATAGGTTCCGATGAAGCAAACCCCCTCCCCGCACAGGCCTGCGTTTCAGCATTTTGTACTAAAGGGTAAAACAAAAAAAAAAGACATAATGGGAAATAAAAGTATTTGTGTAGCAGAGAAGCGCTCACCCTGTATTGTAGCATATGGAAGAGAATTTTTATACTACATTTTTATGGATTATTTTTTAATTTTTGATTTTAATCTGGTCAAAAAAATAATGCTTAGGTTTCAGGTGAGAACTGCCTGGTTTACATACGCGGATAGTACAGACAGGGGAGAGGAGGATGAAGCGGAGGTGATCAGTACCCAGCTGTTCTGGGGCGCGTGGTTGTCATTGCATTCCTCCGAGCAGCCGCTCTGGGACGGGGAGAGATGAGATGGGGCTGGGAGGAGATTTCATGGGAAATGTTTTTTCCTGTCAAAATAAGAGGGTTTTGAGATTTTTTGCCCTTTTCTGTTTAAAAGAAAAATAAGGGGAATGTCCCAGGCAAACGGTGTCCACCCTGTGCAGCTCGTTAGTGCTCACTGTGTACCGCCTCGGCTGGGGAGGAGATGGGATCGATCTTGTGCACTAATTACCCAACGAAGGCAAAAGCAAGCTCTTTAGAACTGCATTTAGGGAAAGGGGTTCTAAGGGCAGTTTGGCTCAGAAAAATGACTCTGAAAATGCCCCTGGCGCCAATGGACCTGTGCTGGCGCCTGCTGAGGGGTTCAGCAATGCCCTGTGTGTGTTTTGGGGTTTGTGTTTGGTCCCTGTGGCTGGGCCGGGTTCTGTGTGGGGGCAGCTCTGCCTGTCCCCCTGCACCCCCAGACCTGGGCGCGGCGTCCAACCCCAGGGTGCTTGGAGCATTCCCCCCCTCTTTGCATTGATGGGGGGATGCGTTGGAAAGGGCTGGGGGGCTTTGAACTGCCCCCGTGGCAAACTCCCCCCGTGGTAAGGCCACTGCCAACTTGCGTCCTGCGTGGTCACTGGTTTGCAAGTTGGTGCTTCGTTTTCCTCCAAGACAAAAACAAAGGAACTGCATGTACCGGAGCTGGCCGAGGGTTACTGAGTCAGACTTCTCAACTTTACACCAAAGTATGTAGCAGAATATGTACAGCTGTTAATAACTACAACTGTTTTTTGTAAAAAAAGGAGAAAAAAAAGAAAAAAAAGGAAAAAAGAATAAAAAGTAAATGTAATGAAGCTCAAATGAAAGCAAAGTGTCTATAAACCATTTGATCTCTGAAAACCTGCACTGAGTTGTTAATAAAAGCAAGCAAAGAAAGCGAGGGGCCGTTGTTCCTGCGCGGTGGGGCCGGGGGGCACAGGACACCCCTCACTCGGGGCCGCCCCTACCCCTGGGAATGATGGCGGAGGTTGGCTGGAGGAAGAACCGAGCGCAGGACTGATGGGAGCAGCTGACTGCAGCCCCCCGCCCTTGGCTTCTCCCCCTTCCCGCAGCTCTGGTCGCTGCTGCCGTGGGCCTGGCCGTGCCCTCCTGCCCGGGATGTGCTGCTGAGGGATGTGCTCCTTCCTCCTTGGGCATCCCCCCGTCCCCCCTCAGGGTGAGCGAGCCCACGGGCACCCTGGACCCCATCGTTTCCTTTTCCTTCCCAAAGGCATCACCCAGCTGCTTTGTTTCTGCTGCTGTGAGCCTGCAGCAAGGACTTGGGGGCGCAGAGAAAGCTGGGAGCAGGGGACCCTGCACCCCAGGGGGATGCTGTGGTGGGGTGCCAGCCCTCGGGGTGCCCGTGGCTGTAGGCGGGATGCTCGCTGTGGCTTGGGGATGGGGTGGGGCGGCTCCGAAACCACGGGACGCGAGCACCCGCATTCCTTTGGCCCGGGTGCCCCTGACAGAGACAAAGCACTTTCCTTGAACTAGGACATATGTACCGTCCTACGGGGGCTTCCCCGTGATGTATTGAACATGACAGAGCCTGCTGCGAGGGAGAAATAAAAAGCAGGAGCAGCACTCTAACTGCTTGGGTTTCCGATAATGTACAGCGGTAAATGGTTAGGAGTGCATTTAAATCTGATTTTAAGCTGGATGGAATGAGGGGCTTACACAGGGGACCATTAAAAGATAAAAATTGCAAGAAATCCTTTGTTGTAAGATTTTGGAGAGCCTGGCACAAGGGAGTGGAAGGGTTCAGTGGGGCCCAGCAGCCCCCCCCAGCAGCCCCCAGCACTGCCCCTTCGGGCGCCTGATCCGCTGCGGCTTCTGCTTTCAACAGTTCCCAGCAAACTGTTGCCCTCTGCAATTAATTTGGTTTGACTACAATCTTTCTGAAAGTGCTGATGGAGGAGGTGTTAAAGCCGTGCGCAGTCTCTCCGATTCCCATTTACGCTATCACCAGGCGCCGAATGCCTGCACTTTATAATTAAAGTATTCCAAGCCCCCCCCCTAATTTTTTTAATTATATATTCATAAGGGCTTTTCTTTTTTTACATGCTTTTAGTTCAGCCTTGGCCGATGCTGCTGTGACACACCAGGGCGTGAAGGCAGAGACCTCGCACATCAGCTGGCAAATCGGGCGGGATTTGCAGTGGGGCACCAGGATTCACCCGCGTCGGTGCTCACCCAACCCAAGGCTGCGCCACGCTGCAGGTGGGCCATGGCCCGGCATACCCAGCAAATGGCACCTTTTGGGTTGCATTACTCACTTTTCATTAGCGATTTCCTTCTGCGAGTGCCGCAGCATCGCACTCCTGCAAGGAAGGGCTCCCACGAAGAAGGTGCACAAGATATTTGATCCCAGCAGCTGCTGGGCATCAAAACTGAGTCGTTACCCTTTTGGGTGCACCCTATAGCCGTTGCCCTTTCGGGTGCACCTATAGCCGTCACCCTTTTGGGTGCACCCTGACGTTGCTCCCGGCTGGTTTCCCGCAGCGATGCCGTTCCTGGAGCCCTGGCAGGAGAGGACGGAGGTTGTGCTGGGAGGGTGCGGCGGTTGGGTGCAGGTCACCGCTCCAGCAGTCGCCCAGGGCTGGGCACCACTCCCCCTTCCCAGCCTGGCTCTCTGGGGAGGCAGTCAGCCCAAATTGCACTTTGAGTAACCCATAATTATCAAATTACAGTGTGTAGGTCCTCTCACTGAGGCAGAGGTTGTTAGCTTGCCGTGAAATAACTAACTGAGCTGATCGAGGTGCAGGGTGGCCACTCATGCTGCCGCCGTGCCAGTCACCCGATGCACCCTCTGTGCTGAGGGCTTTGGCAGAGCTGCCTCAGGGCTCCTGCACAGCCGGTGGGGTGCACGTGTGTCCCCCGCCCCGAGCAGGCAGAGAGGGGGGATGGTGACCCCCCGGGAATGCCTGCCCTGAAGAGCCAACCTGGCCGAGCAGCTTTTCCCATGCTGTGTCTCTTGTCCCTGAGCAGCAGCACCAGGCAATGCTGCAGGCGTAGCAGAGCCATGCCGTGCTGTGCCGTGCCGTGCCGTGCCGTGCCCGCTGCGGCTCCCAGAGCGCCCCGAGGACTGACCCGGGCTGCCAGGGCTCGGCTCTCAATCAGAACCACCCCTGTC